GTGGGTGCGTCCGGCGCGGACACGGCTGCTGGCCGCAGCAGCGGGCTGCTTGGCTGCTTGGCTGCGCTCTCACGGTCCCCCCAATCTAGAGGGGACCACCCTTGGTGCCCATGGGTGGCAAGCCAGGCACACCTCCAAACAAAAACACACACACACACACACACACACACACACGCACACACACACACACACACGCACACACCCACACACACAAACGCGACCCCACACTTCCCCCAGATCACAAATCTCAGAGCCGCGCCCACCTTGAAGGTCTTGAAGTAGGGCAGCTGGTCCCAGCCCGGCCAGTCCTCAGAGTTGGGCGTCCCCAGCATCGCAAATATCTGCTTGATCTGGTCCATCTCGCCCTGACCCTGGGGTTACAATGTGCATCCGCGTGCGAGTGCGGGTGCGTCGGAGAGGTGCGGCCGCCAGGAAGCTCGAGGATATCCAGTGATGCATCATGGGGTTGCACGGCATGCTTATGCTCATGCATATGTGCACCATCCTCTCCCTCATCCTGACGCACACGCACACGCACACGAGCGTACACACACAATCACACACTAACATGAGCAGACGCGCACGGGCACGCACGGACGCGTGCGCGCGCACACACACGCGGACGCGCACATACACACACACACAAACACACACACGCATGCCCCCTCCCCCCACCTGGAACAGCGGCTTCCCTGACAGCAGCTCCGCCATGATGCAGCCCACCGCCCACATGTCCAGCGGCGTCGAGTAGCGCTCCTCCCCCAGCAGCTTTTCTATGGAGCGGTACCACAGGGTCACCACCTGGGGGGGGGGGCAGGGCCGGAAATCGAACAGGCGGTCAGTCATGCTTAATCAGCGCCCTCAACACTGAACGCAGTCAGCATGAGCTGGGCTGTCTGGAAGCCCACACACCCAACAGACGGCCCAAAACTTCGAGGGCCCCACACAGCATCGAGGGGCCCTGGGCACTCAAGATTCCAAGGCGCTGCCGTGGTCATCGCGCCACCGAATCCACGCGCCGCGGCCGCCAGGCGTCGCCCCCGCCCCCCTTGCCCCCACCATGGGCGTGTACGGCCTCAACGGGGAGCCGAACTGGCGGGCGAGGCCAAAGTCGCAGATCTTGAGGGTGCCGTCGTTGCCGTAGAGCAGGTTTGACGTTTTGAGGTCGCGGTGCAGCACCCAGTGCTCGTGGAGGTACGCGATGCCGCGCAGCAGCTGCTGCATCAGGCACTTGGCCTGAGTGTGTGTGTGTGTGTGTGTGGGTGCGCGTGTGTGTGTATGTATGTATATGTATGTGTAGGTGTGTGTGCGAGCGTGAGTGGTGTGAATCTGAGCTGGAGTGGTGTACAGGCGTGCCAAGGGCCCTGGGCCCTGGGGGCTGGCCCTCGCCCCTACACGTGCACGCAGCGCCGTCCCGCGCAAGCGCGTGCTTGCATGGCAGCTCTCCACGCGTGCGCGTGCCGCCTGGACGCCGCCCTGCCATTCGCAGTCCCCATCGCCCTCCCTCTCCCCTCGCCCCCCCCCCCCGAACCTGTGCGGTGCTGAGTGGGTTTTTCTTCAGCTCCTGGTCCAGCAGCTGCTTCACGTCATGCTCAACAAACTCCATCACCATGAACACGCCAGACCCGGGACCGACCACAACCTGGGCGCGGCCGTTCCAGGGGCAAGCGGGAGGAAGGAGACTTCAAATGTTCAAAGCGACGGCAGGGCGTGGTGCGTGGGTCGGGCAGTACACCAGGTGGCGGCACACGGCGCGGGTGAATGCGTGGGCTCGCAGCCTGCGGTCTCCACCACGTTCCCCCATGCACGCACGCGCGCAAGGGCGCACGCACGCAGACGCATGCATGCACGGGAGGCCCCGGTGCCGACGCCGGGCCCCGCCGGTGCTGCCCGCAGCAACCCCCCTGTAATGAACCCACCTCTGTGACGTTGACGATGTTGGGGTGGTGCAGCGACAGCAGCACGTTGATCTCGCGTATGGACGTCTGGGGGAACCCGTCGTTGAAGCGCTCCAGCTTGATCTTCTTGAGGGCAAAGATGTGGCCGGTCTTCTTCTCGCGCGCGCGGAAGACGACGCCGTAGGTGCCCTCTGGGGCGGTGTGTTTATGTGTGTATGTGTGTGTGTGTGTGGGGGG